CAGTTAAGACCTTTTCCTTTTTTATGATAAAAAGAGCAATGTAACAATGGAATTCTAAGGCTTAGAATATAGTGCAAATACTTAAAATCAGGAATAAAAGCAGATACACACTCCCCCCACATACTCATACACACAAACACACCATCTAACTGCTTTCCTGGTCCTTGCCCCTACCCCCCTTTGGCATTGCCGCGGTAGAAACCTTCATACTTTTCACTCTTGCTTCTGCCCTGTGTATATACAGTTTTCTGATCTATCAACCATCCTTCCCTTCTGCAAAACTGCTAACATTTCAGCCGATACCCCAACGAGAACTCAGTGCTTGTTTCTTGGTAGTCTATATGATTTCTGTCTATGGAGTGCGTCATCAGCAGCAAGGCCTGACGGGATCTGGTTCCTGGGGCCCTCTGGCTTATCTGCTCCACCCTCTGCCCTCTCACAGGATAAGCTCTTCCAGCCCTCTTTTTTTTCACTCACAGGAGCATGCATTGTTGTTCTCTTCATCTCTGTTTGACAGCTCCCTCTCTTTCTATAGATCTTGGCTCAAACGTCTTCTCTGGTGAGGCCTTTCCTTCCTGCCCCAAATGAAACAACCCCCAGCAGCCACTCAATAGTTCCAACGCCGGTGCCTGACTTTATTGTTCTCTGTAGTGCTCATCACCACCGGGCATGCTGAATATCCTCTTGTTTGTTTATTGTCTGTCTCCCTCACTAGAATGTAAGCTCTATGAGAAAAGGGACTTTATTTGTTAGACTCACTTGAACACTCCCAAGGCCCACAGCTGGTCCTGGCTCTTCCTAGGCACCCAATAACTGTTTATTGGTTGAATAAAAATGAGCCGTAAACAGTGCAGCTTCTCTTCATTGGTTCAGTGGGTTTGCACCCTGCCTCTATCTATGTATAGGCATATATATATTAGCAGTAAAGCCCCCCCAAACCCTAGAGTTTGTTTACATCTTCAACATATGAAGAAATAGAACTGTATTGGCCTTCCTTGGATGATTTTATAGTTCAGCATTGTTTTAATTTTGAGTTAAAGTAACCATATTGAAGAGAGCACCATTCTCTTTTAATTGCTATGGACTCAGAGTAAAGTGAATCCAGTCCCTGAGTAAACTTGATAAACAACAATTTGTGCAAAGAAAGCCAATTCAGAGTGTGAGAAATTTTGAGAAATGGAGAAATTTGGCCCACAAATGAACAATGGGGGTGTCACGACAGCTACAATCAACTATTTAAAGGCCTGAGATGCAGAAATGGCGAAAGACCTGGACAGTATTTTTCAGGAAGGCAAGAGGCAAGAGTTGTCAGAAGACAGATTTCAGTAAGAGGCAAGAAAAAAATCATCTAACACTTGGAACAGCTCCTGAGTAGAACAAGGTGCCCTGCAGTTTAACATCAGAGTATGAGCAGTTCTCAGGGATATGGAAGGAAGGATTACTGTATTAGCAGGGAAGTTGGACTAAATATTTTCTCCTGTAGCTTGGAGTTTAGATTCTCAATTCTAAATATGTAGAAATGTATTATGTATTTCTGTGGGATTATATGACAAAATTCTTCTTTGGATTTAATTGATATCTTTTTAAATCAGTGTCCAATCCCACTTATAACTAATTATAAAAACAATGAACAATAAGACATTTTAATCTATGGACAGTTTTCTTTTTCTTTCTCTCTCAATTTTCTTTAATTATTTATGATTTACAGTAAGCTAAGATACTAACCCTTTCTGGTTAATGGCCTTTTATTTTTATTCTTCTATTTCCATATATCAATATGTAATAAAGTCTTATTAATTAAGATTAACTTGAGGAGAGTTAATTTGAATTATTAGGAAGTCTGGTTTATAGAATATTTTAAAATAAACCCAATTGAACTTTCACGACCACACAAGAAAACCTAAATGGGCCAACCTCAGGTGCCTTCAGCAGACAACCCTTAGGGAATGGTTGTGAATAACTCAGAAACCTTTTAATTAGCATATCTTTGTTCATATGTAAATGTGTGCTTTGGAATAGTTGAGGTTATTTAACACATTCTGCTGACTAAAATATTTTAAATATTTCCTTTACAATGTATTCAACAAATTATTATTGAACAACCATGTTGGGGAGTGCTGGGATTATAACCATGAGCAAAGACAGACGTGGCTTCTACCTACATAGACTTTATAGCTCAAGACAGACATAAATCAAATCATGTACACACACAACTCTAAAATTACAGCTGTGATGAGGACTATACAGAAGGGGACGAGAGTGCTATGAGTTATATAAGAGGGAATTTAACCTAGTCTAAGGACTTGGGAATGCTTCTCCAGGCAAAAATGATTGGGATAAGCCCTAATGTACGGTTAACTATTAACCAAGGCAGGGGACAAAAGAGAAATTGGGGCAGAGTATTCCAAGTGAAAAGATCATCACATGCAAAGGCCCCGTGGCAGAAAAGGACACGGTATATTTTAAGAAATGGAAGAAAAGTCAGTTAGGGGAACCAGTGATGAGAGACAAAGAAGAATTCAGTGGCCAGTCCAAGTAGGACCACGCTAAGGACCATCTTCTTTCTTCAGTGACTCTGTTTTATCCTTATAAAGAAATATTCACCAAGCAAAGTCAAAACATCCGTGCGGCCCGAGGCCTAATTACCACAGGTTTTGAGTTCACATAATCTAAAATAATGGGTTTTAGAAGTTCCACATAACTGACAAATTATTTCATAATTATATTTATTATAAATGAATGACTTCCATTAGATAAAATCATATGAACTTACAAAGATGTGTGACCAAACAAATAAAAACAGTAGAATTGCATTAGGAAAAGGAAAGATGTACCTTCAAAACAATCTTGATACTTCTTTTTTTGCCTCTGATGACAGCTGGAGGGTGGGAGGGAAGATCTCTTCCACCATGCTTCAAGACACTTGAAGCCAAAATAAGCATCTAGGGACGCTATGAGAGCATGCCATGAGAAAGGGACCTGAATTATATAGCAAGAGAGGTCAGGTTTTGTCCTTCCATGAACGGCACCTGGGCCAGGACTACCTGGTTGTCTCCCTATGAGGCAAGCCCCAAAATCCTCATCTTAAAACCCAGGTTCTCCAAATAGGGCATTCTCAAGCACAGAGTCAACCTCTCTGCACACATTGTCAAACACGTCCATAAAAATCACCAGGGTCAGGGTAGTTTTGTGCTCAAGAGCAAAGTGTTCTGAAGGTCAAACGGGCTGCACCCTGTGCTTGCAGGCTGGCAGTGGACGGACCATTCGGGGCCGCTCTGACAGATGTGTTTCACTATCCAGTGAGTGTGTGCATCGCTGCTGGAATCGGAGTCACTCCCTTTGCTGCTCTCCTGAAATCCATATGGTACAAATGTTGTGAGTCACAGACCCAGCTGAAGCTGAGCAAGGTATGGAAAAATCATTAGTTCACCCTTCCGTGGATTAAAAGGTTCAAAGTCCTTATATCTATCATCTGCCAATTCTTGGGGAGGATTTTAATTAACTATGAGGGATAAACTCAAGGATCCTTAACTATACTTATGTTCTTAAAAACCTCACCACTCAGTATTACATTTATGACTAGGGTTATGTCTAATCTTGTTAAAGATGACAAGACATAAATTTTATTGCTTCATTGCCGTTACAGGACATGTAATTGCTCATCTCAATAAAATATGGACAGGCTGCAAATGGCTATGTGACTGGACGGCAGTTAGTGACATTAACAGGCAGGTTTCTCCCTAACCTCTTTAGCTTAATACTGTGGTTGCAAGCATGCAATTCAATGTCTTCCTCGCACGGACCCAGAATCTCCACAAGAAGCCACAGTTGGGCTTTCTTGGCCTGCCTCTTTTAGTCTGTCTTCCATCTCCAAATCTCCCTTTTGTGATTTCTTGTGTGTTCTCTGATAAGCCGCCACCAGTATTCCTTTTCTTCCCTTTTCCTATCTAGAGACTCCATCCCATACTTTGACCCTCTTAGGACCAGCAGCAGGCCCTAGAGCAACTGTAAACAAGGAGCCCTGATAGCCCCAAGTGGTGTGAATGCAGGAGGAGCCAGGACGTCCTGTGAGCTTGGCGCTGGTCCTGGCCCCGCCACTTCTTCTCTGGTTGACCCCTTTGACTGCAGTTTCCTCATGTATCAAAAGGAGATGCCTTGACTCACTCAGCGTATCCTGATGTGTAGTCTATGGAACATTTGTCACCTGACATGATCCGCTAAAGAGAATTCTGTGGCCCCAGCAACTTGAGGAATGTTCCTACAACACTCCACTTTAGAAGACTCACCTTGTCTACTAGCCTATTAAATTACTTCTGCAGGAAATAGCCTCATTCCATTTTGTTCCATCTATCCTTCCCAAGCCTATTTAGCCACAGACCCTTTCCTCACCTAATACCTACTAAGGAACAGTGTTCTGTGAAGCACCATGGATAATGCCAGACTGGAAAATCTCTCAAGTTGGGGCTTCCCCAAATAAAAACAAGTGTAAAATTAGTTATTTCATGAGTTTCCAAGAGACAGGTGCTTGACATATATTTTCTCATGTGATGTTTATAATCTCGCCACAATCTTGTAAAGTAAGTAATCCAAGGTTTGTTTTCCAGATAAGGAACCTGATGCTTAGAGAGATTAGAGTGACTTGCCTGAAAATACATGGGTGGTAAAACGCAGCAGCAGGATTCAAACTCAGGCCCATCTGGTTCTTTCCTTGACATAAACAACACATGGTAGACATGACGGACACCCCCTCCTACAGCCCTAGTGTGATATTGTGGGAAGACTGTGGGATTCCAAATCAGAGAATCTGAATTTCGCTTTCATCAGAGAATCTGCCTGATTCTGCCCTCACTGAAGGATTGTCCTCAGTGCCTCAGTTCACCTCTCCAAGCTGGGTTTTCTGATCCACACAATGGAGAAGTAAGAATCTATATCCAACAGTGAGTTTTAATACCAAATAAAACAAATAATGTGAAAATATTACTGTATAACATATATAAAATGATATTAATGTTAATTATATCTGCCAAAGATATGAATAGATTACTAGTACCACTACTACTAATAGCCTAGATGTATCAAGCAATGATTATCTAACAGGTGTGGAGTTCGTCACTTTACATACACTGTATCATGTTGTCCTTTTATGGTACTTACCATTTTTATTCCCATGTTACAGATGAGAAAACTGAATCTAGATTACAAAGCTAATAGGAATAATAGAGTCATCTTATTGAATCATCAGAATAAGTAATATCCTCAGTTTACCAAAGAGGAAATTAAAGCACAAAGAGCTAAAATATATATATATGTATTAGAAATAGATTTTGAATCTAGATCCTTTTTCGTGCCAAAGCTCATCTTTCCTCTACACCACAAGATGTTTAACAAAGCAGACAAAACAGCACCTGTGTCAGATTATTTGGGCCTCCCAAGAGCTTTTGGTTATGGTTTGTGATGATTTTTCAGCTTCCCTAAACTCTTCTTTACCTCTTGCTGTCTACCAGGTAATACCTACTTAGGGAGGTGGTTTTTTGTTTCACAGTTTCCATTACACTAAAGGTCATATGGTGCTTCATACAGAGATAGTGATGGAGAGTGTGTCTCACTTTCATTCACTTACTCACTCAACCAATATTTCTTCAGTACCTATTATGTGTGTGTGTCTTCTCATACTGCCATGAAACATTTATCCCTCGGCTCACCCCCAATTCAGAATAGCTTCTCCCTTCTCTGAGCCTCCTCTACTCTTTTGCTGTCTTCCTGTTATATCACATATCTTTCATTTCTGTATTAAGAGTCACAAAATATTTCCCCCAGCTAATGTGAGTGAGTTCCTTGAACACGGCTTCCCTGGATAGCGCCATAATTATATATATATATTACACAGACACACATATATTCTATAAATATTGAATAAATCAATGAGTGAATAAATGTCTACATGTTAGAAAGAATAGACAATTTCTATGTAATTTTCTATACAAATTTATGATTACTAAGATTAACTTATTTTTTTAACTAACCAAAAGACTGTTCAGTAATTTTATACTTTAAAAAATAGATTCCACTTATTTAACTATGGACACAGAGGAGAAATGCTTATAAGAACCCACAACATCTTAACAAGAACCACATAATCTTAATAGTGACTCCTTTCTGACCATTTCATTGTTATTCCTAGGGTCTGTGTGAGGGGTTTCCCAAGGCTGTTTCAGAGGAAGGGGTAAATATCAACACAAAACCACCAAACAGGGCTGTTGATTTATATTCTAAAAAACAGAAACCATAGAGTTGGAAATTTTAAAAAGAGCAATGCTTTCATAACATAAAAATTTGAGGGAATCCTGAGCAAGACTCAGCTGAAAATAAAGGTGGGAGTCATGACATGTGGGAGAAAGGAAACTCAAGCACAGAATCATAAATAGCTTAAAGGGCCTCATCTCCTAGCTTTAGACATGACCTTGAACTTCTGCGTGTGTCCTGTGAGTGGAAGTGATTTGTCCAAAGTCACCCAGCTGGTTAGCCACTGAGTCAGGACCATGGAACTCGTGTTTCTGATTTCCACTTCAAAGCTCTTTCGTGAAAGAAGTTTTCATGCTATTGAAAGTTTAGACTGAAACTTACACTTAAGATCCAATTCCTTAGGGTCTGCAGGCATGAGAACAAGTTTGGGAAGTTTCTTTCTTTTAAAGGAAACTTGTGTAAGTTTGTGTGCCGCTATCATTAGGCTAATGTAACTAATATTTGTCAGGGCTGTCTACATGCTTTTGAGATATAAATACTACTCCTTCCACTATGCTGTCTGCACCTATATAATTTTTTAAGTGCAGCAGAACAAAGCAATACATATTTATCTAACCGTGTCTTCACACTTTTTGATCTGGGCTATGGTTTTCTGATTGTCCTCTTTTGTAACAACAGAAGGGGGAAAAACAGCATAGGCGTTGAGAGCTGGAATTTTAAGCTTAAAGGGTTAACTACAATTAGTTGGGACTTTTCTCCTCCACGTGTAAAATACTGGCTAGCACATGGCATAAATTTGTACATACAAGCCTCCAGTTGCAAGTCTATGGCAAAAAACCTGCACCGAAGTTTTCTCACTTGTTACCATTGCAAACTGTATCTTCTTTCCCTTCTTCTCTATCCACAAAATTCTGGAAAACTTCTAAGTGAGATGCAGAAGCAGAACTAATAAGCACCTGCCACTTACTTAGGGTCAAAAGTAACATTTTCTAATTGAAGCTGATTCTGTAAAATGCCTTTGTTTCTAACTATCTTTTAGTTTTAAAGACATGAGAGAAGGCGGGGAGAGAACAGGAGACAAGTCAGGAGGAAGCCATTCAACAAGGCAAAAATAACAATAAGTGTACTGGTGGCTTGAATGTGATAACAATGGAGGAAAGTTGTAATACATTGAAGAAGTATTTTTGACACAGAAGAGCGAGCCAAACTTCTCTGAGTTGAAGGCAGATGAGAACCTTGTGTTCCTGTGGGCTGAGGGAGGGGGTGAGGTTGGTTGAGAATTCTCTGTGATGCAATGTGGAGAAAGCCGAATGCTGAGGGGGGTCTATGCCCTATAGCGATAAAAGTCTTCCACCGCTTGCCTCACGGGTATGATTAATTCTGCATCACACTCAATTTGTGAAAAGAGTTCTTGAAAAAAAATTAGGATGGTTTGCTTGTGCAAACTGTCAAAATGATGAATGAAATAGGTGTGTGTGAATGGGGAGGGAGGGGGAAGTTTGCTGACATAAATAGATTGGCTTACACATTTTGGTTTTCCCTAATATCACAGCCATGTAGACAGACCTGAGAGAACTGCCTACTAGAAGATTTGGCTTATTTTCTTAGCTGCATATGTGATCTTCAGACTACAATAAAATAGATTGCAGAAAAACTGAGATAGTCTAATTTCTTCATAAATTGTCTTCCTTCATCAGTTCAATAATATATAACCGCGATAATGAGTATTTATAGTGTGTCCCATGCAAAATGGCCTTTGGGTTCTTAACCTAATATAATAAACAGATAATTCAAATAAAAAGTCAGCATAGGCCAGTGGGAACAAGGGAAAGAGGCCAAGAAAGACAAAAACCCTTACTCTACTTAAATATGTTAATAAAACAAAGGAGGACCTGCTCTCTTTCCTAATGAATGAAAAATGCATTTAATTTAATCGGTTTAGCTTGAGAAATTATTTACTTTCACTTTCCCTCACACTGGCGCTCTGGCTACTCCTGGAATTGTTCATCTCTGCTAACTCCCAGAGTGCTGTAATCAATTGGTCTCTTTAGGAGGGGCCATACTCCCCTCTCCTAAAGAAATGTGTGCTTCTCATCAACTCACTGGATGACCTTAGAAAGCTTCAGGACCCCATCAGACCTTCCCATCACCCTGTGGGGAGGTG